GCCCAGTCTCACTGTGCCCCTCTGCGGCGCATTGTGTCTGGGGAGCCCTCAGCTTCTCTCTTCTCCCCTGCAGGAGCCTCGTTGAACCAGGAGCACTGTAGGGCAGCCACCTCCTGCCCAGAGAGTCCCCATGGAGCCGGGTGGTGGGGCAGGCAGCGTCCCTGACACTGGGGGGGCTGATGGCATGGCCCCCCCTGGAGCAGACAGCAGCACAACCCAGCTGGTCCCAGTGGCACCAGAGGCTGCCCAGCCCCAAGGGGAAACGGTGCCGGCTGCCACCAAGGCGCAGGATGGAGGGAAGGATGAGCCCAGGCAGGAGAAGTCTCCGGCTGCTGCTGTGGCTCGAGATGGGGAACAGGCAGAGCCTGGGAAGGAGAAGGCTGTGGGAGAGGCTGGAGAAAGGAAGGCACAGCCGGTAGGGGAGATGGCCCTGACCGCTCCAGAGCCCCGGGACGGAGGGAAAGCAGCACCGGCAAAGGAGGAGGCTTCAGCTATGCAGCATGATGGAGGACAGGCAGCATCCCCAGAGAAGGCGTTGGCTGCTGCTGAGGCCCAGGATGGAGGGAAGGATGAGAAGGATGAGCCTGGGAAGGAGAAGGCTCCAACTGCAGGAGAGCCTGAAGGAGAGAAGGCAGCACCCATGGAGGGGAATGCTCCAGCTGCTGCTGTGGCTCAGGATGGAGGGAAGGATGAGGCCAGGGAGGAGAAGGCTCCGGCTGCGGGAGAGCCCGAAGGAGGGCAGGCAGCGCCCGTGGAGGAGAAGGGTCCAGCTGCAGCAGAGGCTCAGGACAGAGGGAAGGACAAGCCTGGGAATGAGCAAGCCCCTGGTGGGTTAGAAGCTGTTGGTGGTGAGAAAGCACAGCCCACAGAGGAGAAGGCTCCGGCTACAGCGCAGACTGAAGGAGGGAAAGCAAATCCCATGGAGGAGATAGCCTTGAATGCAGCACAGGCTCAGGATGGAGGCAAAGAAGAGCCTGCAAAGGAGAAAACCACTGCAAAGGAGAAGGTCCCAGCTGCTACAAAGGCTCAGGATGGAGGGAAGAAAGTTGCAAAGGCAGAGAAAACCCCAGCTGATAAAAAGCCCGCAAAGGAGAAGGCTCCAGCTACTGTAAAGGCTAAGAATGGAGAGGATAAAGTGGTAAAAGCAAAAAAAGCCCCAGCTGCAAAAAAGGCTCAAGATGGAGGCAAAGAGGAACCTACAAAGGAGAAAGTTGCAGCTCCTGCAAAGAAGGGCCCAAATGCTGCCAAGGCTCAGGATGGAGAGAAGACAGCAGCAAAGGCAGAGAAAACTCCAGCTGCAAAGAAGCCTCAAGATGGAAGCAAAAAAGAGCCTGCAAAAGAGGAAGCCCTGGCTGCTGCAGAGGTGCAGGACGGAGAGAAGAAAGCTGAAAAGGTGGAAAAAAACACAGTTGCGTCAAAGGCTGAGGACGGAGGCAAAGAAGAACCTGCAAAGGAGAAAGCCTCAGCTTCTGTGAAAGCTCAGGATGAAGGGGAGAAAGCTCTAAAGGTGGAAACCCCCCCAGTTGCAGCAGAGGCTGGGGATGGGGGCAAGGAACCCGCCGAGGGAGGAGCCGACTGCTGTGAAGGCTCAGGGTGAAGGGGAGAAGGCAGCAAAGGAGATAGTGGAGCAGCAGCAGCCGAGGGGTCCCGAGCCCCCGCGCCCAGCTCTGCTGCAGAGCCTGAGCTGCCCAGCCACCTGCCAAAGGTACACGCACCCTCCTGGGATGGGGTCCCCTCTCCTTGCTGCTCCCTTGGGAGCCCCGGGTCCCTCTGGGCCGAGGTCGGTGCTGGGCTCAGGGGGCTCTGGCTGGGCTCTGCTCAACTCCTGCTCCTGCTTCCAGGGAGGAGCAGCCCTGGGCGGAGGTGGCAGCGATGGAGATGATACCAGAGGAGACCACGGCGGTGGAGCCAAGAGAGGGTCCAACAGAACCTGTCCCTGCGCCACCAGACCTGGGGGACCTACAGCCCCTGGAGCCACCCATCCCTGCGAGGAGCCCTGGCACCCCACAGGAGAGGACATTGCCCAGTGCTGTGGGGCATCCCCCTGATCCCGCTGGGGCCACAGAGCAGTCTGGCTCGGGGGGGCAACCACCCTTGGCAGAGGCAGAGCCACCCCCCAGCCCCTACCTCACCCCTGATTTTGGGAAGGAAGACCCTTTTGAGATACTGGGTAAGGCTGTGAGGTGCCTGCTTTGTCCTCGCACCCCCGGGACCCCCTGAGGGGTGGCAGCCTGGGGTCCCCCATAGCCCTGCCGGCTTCCTGCGCTGCCCTCCCGTGCTGCTGCTGGCTCATGCTCTTGGCTGGTCGCCTGCCCGGTGGCCTTCGAGCTCCTGTTTCACTGTAAACAGGGCTAAATGCGTCGTGTCCCCTCCCCGGGCTGCTCCGGCCGCAGCCTGACCGGGGCTGCCCGGGAGGAAGAGGAGCCCGGGGAGTGACAGCCACCGCCTGGCTGGCGGGAAG